GCAGATTGCCTGTTCAAGCTTCAGTCCTTGATTGCAGCCCGCTCGGTTATGTAAGTGAATCCCGCTTCCAGACACTTACTTCCTGAGATTGGATGGCTAGAAAGAGCTACTCTTTCATGGACTGACTTCTATCTTTATAATTCCTCCTGTGCTTCCATCATCCGCCTCATTGGTCCTTTTTGTTTCCTTGATTGGCCATTGTTCAACGCCAGCTTTTTCCCCTTTGATACTGTTGACCGTGTATTGACCCATGAATAGAAATACATTTCACTGATTTACAAAGGATTCAAGAATCAATACAGGAATCAGTAATCGTAAGTTCTGTGGATGGATGCCTGCCAATGTTCCTGGAAAGCAAGCTGCCATTGGACTCTTTGCCCCTCCTCTCCTCCCGCTGTATACTTCATTAACCGACTGTGGCATGTGTTTGCAGCATGAATAAAAAGAAACATCTGACGGGACTGACGGTGCTAAACGGGGGCTGTAATTGGCCTTGGGGGTAGTTGGGAGAAGTTGGGGTCGTTCCTGAAAGCAGGTAGCCGAGGAAGAGGGCTAATTGGAGATTCCTTCAGTGAATATCAACGAGGTGGAGAAGAAGAAGAGGGACCTCGTTCTCATTAAAAAAAAACACATCCCAGGCTTCCCCTGCTCACTGTACAAGCAAACTGAATTATGGTCTTTGAGTGAGGCTATTAGCATTTGCTGGATTGAATGCTGATAAGATTTGAAATCAAAGGGGGATGTGTGCAGGTACCGATGGTGGGAAATGATCACAGAGCTTGTGTGGGTAGATTGACATAAGAAAGGAGAGTCATGCCTTTGTAGTAGGCTTTGTGTGTGTGTGTGTGTGTGTGTGTGTGTGTGTGTGTGTGTGTGTGTGTGTGTGTGTGTTGAAATGGCTACATCTGGGTTTTTTCTGTTTTACAGTCACATTCATTGCTCACCTCTCATAACAACTGGTATATCAGTGACTTTATTATCTGTGCATCTAGCCATGATCTATACATATACCTATAGGCAAAGTAGTAGCGATAGTGATATTGCAGTACAGACTACATAAAATGCAGAAATAAACGAGATAAAAGACACAGTTGGAAAGGTTCAATGTGGTATACTGACGTGCAATTACTGCAGTGCTGTGAGACTTAATCACTGTGCTTTGGCTTGCTCGCTGACTTGTTTTTCATTGCCATCCTTCTTTTTCAATATCTCATCTGATTAAATTACAGCTGGGTGGTGTTCAACTGAGGAAATGAAGCTGTGTGTTTTGTGAGCTTGTGTATGTGTTTGTGCATGTATGTGAGACTGTGTCTCTGAGCACAAATGAGTTCAATTGTATTACTGTTAAAAACTTGCATATGTGCCGTATTGTCAACCATAAAGAGAGCAAGAGGGGAAAATATTATGTTTGTATTATTGATTGCATCTGAATGTGTTTGTGTGTGTGTGTTTCCGTGCTTGTTTGTGTGTTTGGTTGAGTAAATTTAGCTCTTTAGGCACCAATCAGGTCTCCACTCTCTTGATAGTTGACTTTGGCCCAGGAATCCTGATTTCCCTGTCGCCCTATCAGATAACAGTCCTCTGCTCTGGTCTCGAGGGATCAGCCAATCACACTCCACCAGGTTAGTGCCATGGAAATGGCTCAGCCCATAAACGCATCACTTCCTCTTCACTGTCTGATGTTTAGAGCTGTGCTTCACATTAAACCTTGACTTAGAAAGCTGAAACAAACATACTCACTTCTGACTAAAACCTCAAAGTACTTACTCAGCTTCTATTAACTGTATTTTTTAACGGTATTTTTCCAGAATATTTCTTAGGGGTTACATGACCTGAATGCAGACTCAGTATCAATAAACAATAAAAAGATTTGAAAAAGAATGGTCAAAATCTGTGCAGCAGAGGTTGAGATGTCCTGACTTCTCTGTAGAATAGGTCACACTCCAAAAATTCTAAATCCTACTTTTCCCATGATGCAGTTGGATAGTGTCTTTCATGAGATGCCCCATGCCTGATCCCGTATCCCATGTCTTCCCAACTCTTGTCCTAAGTTTGTGCCACAGGATTTTTGTCAAAAATTAGATCAGTCCAATCCCAAATATCCACGATGACATCACTACGACATCGCCTGACAAACAATAATCTTTCGTGTTATTCCGAGAACCTCGGGACAGGACACAAAGAGGAGGTTGGAAAAATAAAGTGCAACAAAATCCAAGAGCACAATGACACTATTCTCTTCAAACGGTCAACATAATATTATACTGACAACATATGAGAAAACGAACAGATCAATTAATCTAAACCAAGCTAATGATGTTATCCAAATATAAAGAATATATAACTACATTAAACTGTGTATGTCTTTTCAATCTCATATGGCTGGCTATTGACTTTACTACCCTCAAACTAGAGCTTTTATCCTTTTTTCACTATAGCTACAAATGCACGGATGTGTGGAGTGGGTGGATGGTAACATACAGTAAGTAGTGGTTGTTAATAGTAAAAACTGCTACTGATTTATACTTTACTAACGTCTTGGCTGCCATCTGGGACTGTGGAAACTAGCAGATCCCTGGTTGGAAGTACTGCATATAATTTAATTTTATATATAAACTGTAAAACCAATACTAGACAAAATGCTACCCTGTTGTATATTTTAATTAGCTATGAATTACCTACCTTAGCTGTTTGTTGTTTACTTCCTACAGTGACACTGAATTATATATACAGCCCACATGCTTTCTAGTGGGAATTTATCTCTGTTTTCCAGTCTATGCTAATTTTGTGATACATTTCTGTGTGGTATCAAAGTTGGAGACCCGTCAGTAGACAAACTATCATCCAATTTTTTGGGAACAGATGATGTCCTAAATAATTTAGCTGTTTGCAGTGTCAGAGTTGTTATTAGTGCGAGAGTCAGCCCAAACATTTTGGTGTCTGGTTTCTTGCTCAAGGGCACCTCTGCAGTGCCCAGGAGGTGAACTGGCACCTCTCCAGCTACCAGACCACAATCCATACCAAGGTTATTATGGTTCACTAAAACTAAACTAGAAACTAAAACTAGGTGTGAAAAAAACATACTTCAATAAAATAACAATAAAAACTACAAAAAATATAAAGAAAAAGTTTTAGTTTTCGGTCAAAATATTCTTTTCATTTGTTAACACAACAAGCATTGGTGCATATATTTATTGAGACTGGAATGTCTACGTGACTGTGAGTTAATGTGTTTATATAGTAATATCAAAACTCCTTAAATCTTGCCCCTGACAAATACCTCCATATTATATGAAAAAAATAAAATAAAAGCAATTCTGAAACTAATAAAAACTAAACTAAAACTTAATTGAAGTATAATAACTCCACTCAAATGCTATGATTAGTGCTGGACTTAAACCGGCCACCCTTCAGTTCCCAATCCTTAGTTCCCCACGGACTGAGCCACTGCCACCCCCAAAAAGGTCATTGATATTAGTGTGTTGTAAAATGGATACAGCACTGTATGAGTAAATGGTCTTCATATGGGTTTCTAGTTGAATAACATAAATTGAGGCTAATTGCAAAATGTTCTGAAAATTACAGCTCATAAAGTTATCTATTTGACTGCTTCAGAGTGCGTTGGGGAAAATTGCCCCTCGTCTTTTTAAAAGGACTAGAAGTGGCTTCTGCGGCGACGATGTGGACAAATCGGTGAAAGTTGAAAAAGCTTAATTAGCATATCAGAATCGGAAAGGAATCAAACATGATGATGTCCCTGTCAGAAGTCTGGCAGGTGGCCGTCAAAAGGAACGCTTAAGTGTCTTTGTGTGTCAGCAGGGGCCTCCGTTTAGAGTCTGGTCTGCCTTGTCAAACAGCTAAAGGAGATGTTCACTAGTCCAGAGTCCTCCCACACACAGCTGCTCTCAAATAATCAGGCTGTGTGTGTGTGTGTGTGTGTGTGTGTGTGTGTGTGTGTGTGTGTGTGTGTGTGTGTGTGTGTGTGTGTTTAATTTCATATGTGCAGGCTCATGCATCCTTGTTTATGATATGTTTGTATGTGCTTGTGTTTGCATAGTCACTTGTGTATCCTGGCACACAGTCGTATGTGTTACCTGTGTCTTCCTTTGTGTGTGTGTTCAGGCTTGTTTATCTGATCTCTTGGCACCGTGTGTGTCTTCCCTCTTTATCTGACAACTCCATGCCTGTCCAGCCCCACTCTCATCCTATTAAGACTTCTCCTCCCAAAGGATTTGGCTTGCCTGTGTGCGTTGGAGACCACAGTCTGGCTCTGTTGCTTAGCCAAGTGGGACTCGGCGAAGGCCAAAGCCAGGGCATCAAATATTAGTTTCATCCCAAACTGAGATATCCACCATCTGAAAAGAACAAAAGGCTCAAGGCCCTCAAGAGAGAATTCTTTTTTAAACATTTTTCCGGCACACTAGGGAGGTCAGAGTTACTGTGTAGCATCCTCGGAGCTAATAAAGCCTCAATGTCTTGTACTGTGACTGTGAGTTGTAATCTGTAACTTCACCTCTAGATGCCACTAAATCTTAGACACTGGTCCTTTATAGGGTACTACTTGCAGCTGGTTAGCTCAGCTTAGCACAAGGACTGGAAACTAGGGGAAACTGATAGCCTGATTCTGTCCAAAGTTAACTAAATCCACATACCATCCCTTCTGAAGCTCAGTTATTTACACATTGTATGGTATTTGTTTAATTTATGCAAAAAAACAAAGTCTAAAAACAATAGGGTGTGGTTTTTTGGAAGTTTATGTACTGGAATATGACTTGGCCAGAAGCGTTATATTTAAAGTACAGTCATGTACTTCCTCTCCGTTCTGTAAGGGAGCAGACACATAAAAAAAGCCATACTTTTGCAGCATCAGGGGTCTTGTTCTGATCATAGTGGGTAGCTCATTTTTCGAATGAAACTCTATTAATGCCTCTGTAATTTTCACAGTGAAGTCGTGCTGAGTTTGAAATTAATTTCTGCTGTGCCTTTGCTTGTGTCTCCAGATGGCCCAGTGATCTGGCGGATGCTGACCTACCCCCCGACTCGCCGAGCCCTCCTGGTGGGCTGTGGTCTTCAGATGTTCCAGCAGCTTTCAGGAATCAACACGGTCATGTGAGTGAAACCATCACCAAACTTTTCTTCTGTAGTCCTGCACAGGTCCAGATTACTCTCCCGGGTGGGCCATGACAACACACTTTTCAAAACTATAGTATGGAGTCTGTAATCGTCAGCATAAAATAGGATTAAATGGACCAAGGACAGTCACTGTTTATAATTAAGAAGCATTCTACTGTTTAGTCTTCAAAGTTCAAAATTCACACAATTACAGTTTTAGCTGACTTCTCTGTTTGCAGGATTTAAAAAGGACATTTGAGTCTAATCTGCGTGGCACATGGAGTCACAAAAGCAATCAGAAATAATAGTTTTTGCATAAATGTAAATGTTTTTAGTCACACCCACTCTGTTTTGGAGTCCTGCCTCTGTGGTAGATCAGTTGAACAATGGCGTCAGGTGCTGTGCATGTTGACCTCATTGCAATATATAGCCAGGAAAAGAAATGATCAGTGTCAGTGCAGTTGGAGAGCGGGTTATCGATTTGAGGCAATATTCATACCAAGCATGTCACAAGAGGTTTCACTGGTTTAGTTCAGTTTACTTTGCAGTGCGAGGGCAAACTGAAAATCAGTTCATTCGGAGTGAGAATACATACATAGATTAATGTTTAAATACATTAAACAACTAAAAAAGCACAGGTGCAAAAAAACAACAACAATTTCTTCCACTATAATTCAGACCAAAGAAAACATGTCATGTTCAGACAGACAATAAAACTGCCTGTAAAAAATGCAGCACTCTCATTCCTTTTTAATGAGACCAGCAAAAGTTTCATTTAGCCCAACTTTTTCCACCAAAACAATGTCACCTACTTTTTACCTATTGTTGAGAGGGTGGATAAAATGATTGTTGCCATGATACCTTTCCAGAGCTGTAAAATCGTGTCTCATTATAAACCCCTGTGCTGTGTTTTAGCATCTGATAAGACTCATGGATCTGTTACTCAAATCCGCCTTCCAGGATGGTATTTCATCGTTTTACTCGTAACTGAAGCAACACACCCACATCAACATCCCAGGGCTGTTTTCAGTCTAAACACTCATGATGGAGACCCATTAAAAACATAAAAAAACCATATTATATACTTAAATAGGAATATATATGTATTTTAAATCACAAAAAAATGTACCTGTGCCACTTGAGGCTGTTTGACTTTGTCAGTTATCTGTACCATAGATCAAACTGGTGTGTGTGTGTGTCCTGTTACTAGATCGTGTCGCCGTTGAAAAGGAAAGTTCAAGTCTGTTTTTATCTCTTTGGCCCTGAGGTTTAATCAAAACAATGACGATACATGACACTGAATCTCTGTGCCACCTACCGTCCCTTTCAAAACAAGAGTGATTTAGACAGATGTATTTGGTTTAGAAGCATAGTATTCAATCACAAAACCATTTCTTTCATCTTTCATAACATCATACACCAGGGACCAGTGGCCTCATCGCATTACTGCCCACTTGCCTGTGAAAGGAAGGAGCACCTCTCCTCTTTTATTCTTTTTTATCTCTCTATCCGAGGAGATTGTGTCATCCGTCTCTGTCTCACCTCCCCTTTGAGATGAACTATATTACAAGCTCTGTAAACAATCTGTGGATATGTGCTGTTGCTTAGCAACCATCAGAGGTGAGAGCAATAGGATAAGTGTGCGCCTGTACGGCTGAGTGAGCCTGCATGCATGTGTGATTTAATGCGCTAAATGTGACACTATGGACTTTTTGGTCTGCGCATGCGCACCTGTGTGTATGTGTGCGTCATGTGCGCTCACTTGGATGTATGTGTGCATTTGCAGTGAAGCGTGTGACTGAAGGTATGGGCAATTACATATGCATGCGTGTATGTTGGGATCTGAATGGATGGAAAGACGCAAAAGAGGGCGAATATATATATACAGCTGTGGTTGTGCGCTGCATCCGTCACACATCTCTTTAAATACTTATTTCTGTCCCTCTCACTCAATGTCTGTCTATTGACTGTCTGCCTCTCCTACTGTATATTCATCTTCATCTCCCGCTAACAGCCTGAACAGCAAAGGGGACAAACTAAATCTGTCACAGCTCTGTCCCTATCCGCCTTTCTGTCTCTCTGAGTTGTGTGTCTGCCAGTCTAGTCTTTCTGGAAAGGTCTGCCTGCAAGATTATCTGTGTCGGCAGTGGCCCATTTAAACTGAGCAGTGTGTTATGTTTTCACCTGCCATTGAAATGTGTCTCTGGTCTACACAACGAAATCTGATTGCCCTTTCATTTGCAAAAATACCCACTGTGGCATCCTTTGGAGATAATTACATCCTTCAGAATTGACATTAAAGACCTCATCCTGCTGACAATCAATTGTTGACAATGGTTTCTCAGTTTGAGTTGTTTGCTGTTTGTTTTCTTTGCACCATTTACTGCTTAGAAAAGTTGTATCCACTTATGTAAGTTTACTAGAGCTGTATCAGAGTGATGTTAAACAGACTGCACTCCTACATAGGTGTTTACACTTATTTTGAATAATTAGATCTCCAGTCAGGTTGAAGGTGAGCAGAGATTTTCTGGTAATTATACAAGGTATAAGTCCATGGAACACCAGTATTATAGTAACAAATAGTGAGACACAACAATTCATTTTCAATGTAATTGAACCCACATTTAGTCCCTATAGCTTTATATTTTTTATGCACACAATTTTCTCTCTTACATGACCAACAGTGCAGTCACACAACTGCCCTGAGTTGTCTTGTGATGCTGCAACTTTCCCATTTGTCCGACATGAAATGAAAGCAGCATGAGGAGAGGTCCAGCCAGGGAAAATGAGTGAAAGCATCTGTGTATACTGACCATGGATGTGGACTTTCAAGAAGAACCATAGATGTGGTTTGTGCAGTGAGATTCAAACTCCATCCACAGTGCATCCACTCAAAGACCATCCAGTATGTGGGAATTCAAGTTGTAACTGGTGTGAATAAGTTTTTTTATTTTTTCTCCAACTGTCTGAAACATATTGTACTCAAGTATTTCGATAATGTCCAATCGAAATTGCAAATTTAGAAGTAAATTCTGTTTTTATGGTTAATCTGTGCACAGGACTGCATTTTAAAGATATTTACCGTATTATTTTTTAGACAAAGTTTCATCACATCGTTGTTGTAAAGTTGAGGATCTAGATCAGAATGCAGACAGCAGAGTCTGGGCTGGTGCAAGTGAAGAGGACTTTACTTCTAAAGTACCTTTGGAAAAAACACTGCATGCATTTCCGTGTCATAGTTTGATGTCCGTATTACATCATTTCCTGCAAGTTTCAGAAAGAAAAGTATATGGATTTCGTGCATACTAACTGGAAAACACCATACCATGACAAAATATTTTGTACACACTGTTGTAAAATTAGTATTTATTATGATACTGGGACACAGCATCCGAGGTGAGGAGTGAGGAAAAAATAACTAAATATTGAACTAGTGTCAAAAATTGATAGCATGATTGTATTTTTATCTGTGTTCTAGTTTTCAATCCACGTCTGTACCATATGTTTTAGTCATTCTGGACAGCTTTCTGTGTTTTTTCCCAGCACTGATGTCACTCATCCTGTGTGCTTCTTACCTCTGTATACTTTGCCAGCCTGTCTGTTAACCACCTGCCTTTTCGTTCCCATGTGAAGCTGGCAGGCTAGCCCTATTAGCCGGTGAGATATAAAGAAGGTCTGGGGAGCCAGTAAATCAGCCGGGCTTAGAGACAAGCTCCACTCTGCCTGTCCCCAGCTGCTTTCCCTGATTAAACCACCGGGCTGGCACAGAGAAAGAAAGAAAAGGGCAGTGGGAGAAGCTGGCAGCCTGGTAAAAAAAAATGCAAACCAAACTAGAAAAAGCACATATTGCCTGTCACTCTGCTCTAACAGTCCGCTTTCTCAAGTTGGGAGCTCGACGGATTGGTGCGGATTGATGGATTTCACCATTTTTTTTTTCTTCTGTCAAATATGCTCAAACAAAGGGTACATTTGAGTGCATATTAGCACATTGTCCCACTTGAAGTCCTCCCTCCAGTAAGCCTCAAAGTAAAAGTTCCAACAAGAAGTGAGCCCTTCTGGTTGTCAGCAAGGGAATAAGGGCAAAACTGGAGTTGTAATCGAACAGCCAGCTCAACTGATGATCCAGTTAGCTAACACATTTCTCACAGATCTGCCCTTTCAAATCTGACTCACTTGCTGAAATGTTTGTATATGTAACTCCCAGTCTGTCAAATACCACAGATAATTGAGAGGACTCCTGATATGTCACCGTGATTTGAATTTGTTCAGCCAGCACGATTCTAGCAAAATGGCAGCGAACGTGGACAGCCAGACTCAGCTTATGTACATGTGCATGTATTATGAGAACTGGATACCGTAAGATCATTCTCGGTTTGTTCTAGTCAAAGTTGCTCACCCAACACATCCGCCAAATTCCAGTTTTAGTTAAGGCTGTTGACTTTGGTGCATAAGTTAAGAGGTTTTGATAGAGATGTCCAAATAACATTATTTCCTTCCTGATTTTGATGCCTGAACTTTGTATATTGGCCAATATAAATGTCTGTTTTAGTTAGTGTTATATACAGCATAACATTAACTCTTGTAAAATCGGGACCCTGACTAGGGGTTGCCAAAGCTTCATAAGGGGACACAAATGTAAATGTGAAGGGAATTGTCTAATAATTAATCCAAATAGCTCGTTTTACACACACTACTTAGATAAATTGTACAGTTTTTAATATAACATGAAACATCAATTAAATGTCATTACAGCATTGGTTGTCCGTTTACTATATGATAGAAAAGAGGTCCCTTAAGGAAAGAGGTTGGAAACCACTGACCTAGTTGACCTGGGTCAAAGGTTCAGTTCACTATTTTAATCTCAATCCTTTCCTGTTCGTAGGTCAGACATGTTTTTAATTGGATGGCTCAGGTGCACAGAAAGCGAGAGGCTGCACAGAGAGGCTGGCGGACTGTCAGAATGAGAAAATTGTGATAGAGGATGTGAAATAGAGCAG